GACTGAAGAAGTCTCTTGGAAGAGAGACGAAACGTTTCATTAAAGAAGAACCCGTCCAGAAGACCTATACAATTTTTTTTCTTTTTGATATTTTACCTGGATTACTGAGATGCATCAGGATATTTTAATTTTATACTCCAAAAATAGAAAAGTGGTTCGTCTTTTTGTTTTTCTCAAACCAGAAGTTTCCTGGAGCCACTCTGAGTTGCCTTGACGAAAGTCTTAAACTTCCTGTTTGAGAAAAATAAAGATAATAATTTTTGAAGTGTAAAAGGAAGATAGACATAACCATCCGTTTTTCATTTTTCAATACCTGTTTTTAAAACAAAAACTGAAAGACCCCTCTTGGCCACTAGCTTAGCCTACATGAAGACTTCAGCCCTTTTTCCCCATAAAACAATAACTTTATGACGTATGTCATGCCTGATAAGGTCCGAACTGCTGATAATTATTTGACATAAAATCGCTCAAATGACCAGAATATCTCATTAATACAATCGAAAAGGTCAAAAACATTTTTTTTAGGGATGAAAACTTTCTGCTGCGTGAGTGTAGTGCATGTCAGGGCTGCAGCATGGCCATCTGCACTGCAGCCATTCTTCCAGCTACTGAGCCTCACAGAGATAGGAGTTTCTTCAGTTGTCAGGAGAGCTGTGTCTCTGAACATCCAAAACATCAGATCACATATACCTCTTTGTTTACAGTTTTTACACACAACTGAAGGTAATAAAAGGTACTACTGTAATATGGTTACAATACCATGGTGCTCCTAGATGATCAGAAACATCATCGCTCATGTGGCTCTACAACGTTAGACAATACAGAGCTCTTTAACCTGTTGCTGGAAAGATTMGTTTTGTTTTTACATATTTTTGGTGCTTTCTTTATTTCAAAAGAAACACAGAAGTGAGAGACTTTACTCTGTCCTCTTTTGGAGTTTTTATACTGTTTCTACTGGTGCTCATTTCTTCTCTCAGCCTTGCTGCTCTCAGGTTACCGACCTGGATCTGCACAAACAGAGAGTGAAGCTAGCCACATGGGGAATGATGTTTTCTGTCATTTGAAAAAAAAAAAAAAAACAAACATTAAAAAAAACTTTTGAGATCAAAGTCTGCGGTGAGCTGCTTTTTCTAGCTTCACCCCGACTAATGATATTACTGTACAGCTGTTTTAAGCTCTGTTGCTCGATGGATGTTAACCAGTCAGCGTTCTCCTCAACATCCACCTGTTTAAACTGAATAACTGTCAGGTGCAAATTCTCAACAACATGGTGCGGCTTCACAAAGTTCTTCTACCTTTTTATAGCAATTTTGTGCTGTTTTATCAACAATATAAAGCACTTTTATATGTATACATTCTTTTACCTTTGGTTCTTTTTTTAAATATTGTTTTTGTGAAAGGTTTTTGTTTAGTTTCATGATGTGAACTAATCTACCCTTGTGTTTTGTATTAAAGTAGGGCTGTGCCAATAGAAGTATGGCTTTTGACATGTGAATTCCTGTTGATTGACTATGTACAGTTGGTGGACTGACATGTGTAATCCCAAGCTTATTTTCCTTTCTTCTGTCATCCACATCGTGCTCTACTTTGAAGCAGTGACGCAGTACGTTACCATCCAAACTCGAAGAGTCTTTTTATTGAAAATGTAAAAATATCAGACAAAGTTTAAGAACTTTGTCGACTGCTTTGTGTTATGTTTTTCTGCCTTGTGAAGGACAGCTGGGCCTCAGCTATTGCCAAATGTAGATTTTTATAAAGCGCTGATTTGAATCTGGATCCCATCCRCAAAGGAAGTTCTCCCGATGGTAAAACTCAAAGACAAATCCGGAGGATTCAGTTTGTCAAAACAAAAAACTGACAGTGTTTGACAAAGCACTCAAAAAGTCTAGAGACTAATAATAAAATATGTTATCACTTGTCTATATCATATTTCAGATTCTAATTTAATTTCTAACKAATTCATTTTCTTAAGTGACCTTATTGCCATCGAGGCTGTGTGAAGTGTGGGTGCGGGGGGTGCTGCAGTACCTCCTGACCAGAGGTCGCGCTCGTCGAAATGCAAAGTTAAAGGGATGGTCAGGTAATTTTGGAAGGGATGTTCTGTCACAAAGCATAGCTTGTGGAGAAAAGGCTAAATGGCCCTGTTGCTGTGTCTATGGCTSTGTCCAAAACACCAGGACGGGTCCTCCGAAGGCCGAATTCGTCACAGCGCCGCGACGAAGGACGTCCAAAACCGAAGACTCCTCCGATGCGGCCGACAAATACGTCCTTCCTTTGGYCCGAATCGAAGGACAGGTCTGATGGATCCTTCCCGGCCCAGCGTATCCCATAATGCATTGCGGCCCGACCGTAGATTTGTTTACGCTAGTAATGGCGGACGAAGCGAGAGAAAAGAATACGTTTTAAATAAAAATATGGTGATATAAAAATTTAAAAAATTAGTGGTTGTAATTCGAATACTTTAATCATTTGTATGGACATGTTTTTAAATATTATTTTTGTCATAAAAAATGCGAAATAAACATGAACCTACAGCGGGTCAATTAGTTCTTCAAATGTTACCTTTAAGTTAATTTTATAGTTTTGTGATATTAATAATGCTAATGTATTGATATTTTTCTAATTTTGATTTAAGTTTGCTTGTTTAGCGTCGTCAC